ACAGACATAGTCACATCTACAAATATAAATAGTCGTCTATAGTTTACGCGAGTAGTAGACATTTAAATAAAACACTTTAACGGTTTAAAACGCGATATATTAATTAAACTCATTTCAAAATGATTTTTAACTTCGGCCCGACGTTTCGGATGCTTTGCAGCAGCCGTGGTCACTAAGTTTAACTAATATATCGCGTTTTAAACCGTTAAAGTGTTTTATTTAAATAAATAGTCGTTCTGGTCTTATTTGTTTTCCCTACTTTTGACTCAGAAATGTAATACAATTGATGTAAATAAAAAATCGATTTAAGAAAAAAAATATCACCCAGCATCCGCAGCGTTCCGTGCTGTTTCTCAAACCAATTGCGCTACCATGTCTTATACGTCATTGTCGAATTTTTTCAACCCATTGATACTTGCACCTCCATTGTAATTTCAACCTTAACATTTACGAATTAGGGTTTAATGTCTTATGCTTTGCTGCTTAAAAACGCATTGCAATAACATGTAAACAATATTAAATTCAAACAATTGATGTAGTGACATTAATTAAATGTTCTAGGTACTCCAATTTGGAGTAATCTCAACGACTTTCAAACGAGCTGACAGTTTTTCTAGTTCATTAGTTAGTAGTAACTAGCTAACGTAACAATCTTCTTTTGATATTGCGTAGTTAGGATAATGTTAATCACGCTTCGTTGAAAGGGAACCTTCGCACCGTCTGCGTCGTGGGCGTGGTACTTATACCCACGTGCGAATAAGGATGAGTAATTACGTTATTTCAAAAGATCTTATTGACGTCTTGTAAAAAGGTGTGGTTGAAAACTTGTTTTATATTTTAAATTATTAAACGCTAGTCACAAATTACAATAGATTTTCTGAGGTCACCTGGTATAGGTTTCGATTTTATGATCGGTATTTATGTAAATATAACATAGAACTACCTGTGTCAGCAACTTCGTCCGCAAAATAGTTATTTCGAGCATCCACATTTGTTTTTACAAACCTCCTCTTCCTTTTTATAGCTGTAACCCACGACGCCAGCAGCCTCCCGTCGATCTTGCAAGTTAATCTTAAAAGATAGAGATATAGTGTCTCACACCTTTTTTTTAGAATATTCAAAGAGGCTTCAATCTTTAATAGATATGTTTTGGGTATTTTCAACCGTTTTTGCAGAATACGCATCTAACACAATGATGAATACATGTTTCCTTTTTTTTACATTTCCCGCTGTTCCTTCGCTCCAATTAGTCATAGCCCAATGTTTTATAGTTCAAACTCTTCAGCTCTATAGATTAGTTTAAGTTTAAACTTTATATATTAGTATAAATAAAAAAATACGAGAAATTATTCGCGTTTCTTTCTGAAGAGATCCCTTGCTTAGTAAACTTTTAATAAATAAATTTATTGACAAAACCGGAAGTCGTTTCACAAACAATTTTACACTGATATAACTTTCATAACATGTAAAATGGCCAAAAACATTGTGTTAACAAACAATAGTGTGGAACAATAGACCGCGTGGCTCCTGACAGTTGGCAAAGCAGGACCCGCATACACAAATTCTGCAGCATTCGCCGTATGGCGTATCGACCGTTGCGCAAATAGTCGTTTTGAACTGCCTAAAATAGTCCACTTGCGGCTTTATTTTAGCGGAATTAATGCACAATGCATTCCAGTTATTATTATTATAATATGCGTAAAACGTAGAAATTGGCAACTTGCTAATTTAAATAAAATCGTTTTAACGGTTTAAAAGGCGAAATGTATTAGTTTACTTAAAGTTTTATAACGGATACAGATTTATGACTGCTCTAGGGAGTTTTACGTTTAATGAGTTATAAAAAATACATTGCTTAGAATAAATAAATTGTATAAGGCTTTCTTGGCCATCGTTCATCATATCACAATTCTTCGAGTCATCGAGGAGCTAACTACTCGTGATGGCGAAACGTCGAGAACGTAGATATTGCCTAGCATTGCTTTAAAGTCCTGGGTACTAATAAGTAACGCACTGTAATCTGGCCAATTACAACTTCTAATAATTCACCTAAATATTTCACTCCGAGAAAACGTGAATATTAATTTATTCTATATTAATTATATTCTTAAAAATGACATATCGTCGCAACAAAGTGTTACGTATCTTAGTGAAAGTAATACTGTAATGCGAAATTAATTAAGACAAAAATGCTCCACCACAAAAAATTATGAGCGGGTTCACATTATTGTAATTCAAAACAATGGTTATCACACGAACCTTATCATACTTTTCGAATTTAAACAAATAAAAATAATTGCGACTTTACACGATTTTCTCGCCATTATTAGTGTCTTTAGCGTTGTTAATACGATTGTGAGAAACACTTAAACTCGTATCTAAAATTTCACAGATTCCTGTTTCATAATGTAATTGCTGTTTTTAAAAGTGAATGTCATTTGTGAACTTGTATTTTCAATTGTAATATTACATACTTTACGCATTCGAAACATCGGGTGATAGTTAAAACAATTTGTAGAATAAAATAAAATATACTTTATTATCTTTAAAATTTAAAAAATATTTAGATTCGTCAAAAAACATTCATATATACAAACACCCGAGAAACTCAGTCCGGCTTTTTTAAATATGTCTTATAAACTAATACATTGTTGTAAATTTATTGACCTAAGGAGCAATTCATGTTATCGCTAGGCTGTCTTGTCTAAATGACAATAATACACCTTTTGAGACAATCTAAATTTTATAACTTCATTAAACTTATTTATATATTATACATACGAATACAATTTCCCGCAAATGAATTATATATTTTATGGAGCCTATATTTGGGGATAGCTAGTTTATCCTTATTTCGTAAGTTCAAATTATGCCTATCACTATTCTATGAATATTGTACAATATACGTTTCGCGTTTTAACGGGTTAAAAGTATTTTATTTAAATGTATATTGTTCGCTACAGACAGTACTAAGACATCTACATAATCTTTCTTAAATGTACCTTTGTATAATATTGTTGTTCTACTATTGTTTAACTACTATTTAAAATGTAATTTAAAAAATACGCTTTAACTTAAATGTGACTTTAAATTATTTCTGCCATTAGCCAGCACCTTTAGATCGATATTAATAGGTTAAAGATAGACCCATCATTTAACACCTATTATACAAAAGCAATAAGGACGTGGAGCTGCTTAAAATCATAGCACACCTGCGATTTATTTTCAAAAGTGTCACGCACCGTTCGTTAGAGTCCAATTTCACGGCTATATATGGCTTGAGCTTCATGAAAAGTCACAACACGGTCTAATTTTAAGCATCATATCAACCATTTGATATTAGTAGCAGATGAAGTCCCTTCCCTAATTTCCTATCTTAGGAATGCGTGGTGATTACATGTTGTAACAACTTTACCCGTTACACGTGTAAAGTTTTTAATGTACGTTGACGGATATGTATACAAAACAATTACATTTTCTGCACAAATATACTAGTACTATAAGTATCCAGACGAACCGTGATGTTTCAGGAAAATTATAAATAAATAAGAAATATGTTGGAGACAATGGGGATTAAACCCACGACCCCAGGACCCGTTGATTATTAGCCATATATTTCTATTATTTGATTAACAATATTGTTAGCTTTGAAAATGTACTTTATTTTATGTTATTACTTTTACTTTAATTTGATTTTACTATCGCATAAGTATATTTTATTGTTCTCTGGAGATATATTTATATAGGTACAGATGTATGTTTTAGAGAAATAGTGTATTAAAAATGATAATTGCATTTTGCGGCAAGCTATCTCTGCTTCGTTAACACTTCGAACATAACACCGTACATTTTATAAGATTGTTTATAACTGAAATAGAACGATTTCTATTACGAAGGGTCAGGTGGATTCTCGCCGTACCCGAGTACCGAGTATTGTGATAAAAAGCAGTTTCAAACTGGATTCCTCAACTTCACCCAAGTTCCAATTTCCGTAGAGGAAACGCTTCTTGGCTTTAAGTGTGCAGGTTTTTGTTTTTTCCGTGGAAGCTGTGTTAGATTGTTCGTAAATAAAGTAAGAAATCAAAGGATTTTTTTTAACTAAAGTGTAAGTCGTGACTTTATTAAATGCATTCTATTCTTGCAGTTGTTCATAAGTATTATGCAGTAAAAGTACAAATTCAATGTCAGGAAAACCGTAGAAGACTAATAGACTACAAATAATGTTATTATCATTTTATAAAAAATACGGAAATGTCCTTAATCTTGTTATATTTTTGAATTTATTATACAATTTTGATTATTATCTATTTTAAATGATAAGCACAAAATACAAGTAACGTACATCACAGTTTAATAATCCCTGAAATAACATTCTCGTTTTAACGGGTTTCTTATAGATTTCTTTCTATGTAACACGATAAGTTACTTCTACATTTATATCTTGGTTTTTCGCTGATTATTATTTGGTTTGTGGATGATTTGAATAAGGCCATATGGCCTATTCAATAAGTTCTTTTGTGGACAGTTTGTGCACTGTGTCACTGATTGTCGTATTGTGTGCACTATAGACACCAATTTGCGTATTAATATAGCAAAGGCCACTGCCCCTACGTTCGTTGCACGTCGCCTTAACTAAGTTGATAACTCCCAACTATCGACCATTACTATGCATCCTTTTAGCCTATGATTTGGTCTGTACGAAATTATACACTTATTTATAAAATACTACATATTAGGTTTTTGAGTTTAAAGGATATACAAAAAAGGTTAAATTTATTTAAAATGAGATACCAAATTGGCCATATAATAATATAGGACTAACTTAGATATAAAAGATGATGAAAATAAACAAAATGTTAAACGTCAATGTAGTTTAACATCAATTATTTTATTTTTGTATCAGTTCGCGTGATCACAACACGATCTCAAATAAAGTTTAATCAGTGAAGTGTGAAGCAATGTAAATGAGTCTGCAAAGACCCAAAAAGACAAAGTTTAGAATGTGGAAGGCGATTATACAGAAGAGAAGGAAGTTCTCAGATGAGTTACCTTGTGAGGAATCATACGCCGCCCTGGCGGCGATGCAGGGAGGTACCGCGGCGACGCTGCCGCCATCTCTTGATGCGCTACGTGCATGTAAGTAGTGTTCCTACTCGGCGACAGATGGCGCTAACTGTCTTTTGTCTTGATATTATTATTACTTGTTAAATAAAATTTTGAAGTTAAGTAATCGTATTCCATGAAGTAACAAAGTAACTTTAACTTAAAAAGTTAAAGTTGAATTTAATGAACCTTAGTGTCGTTTTATACATATTGTTTTTTGGGATGTGTATAATATTATGCCGGTTTTGTAGAGCAATAAGTACTTCAGAATTACCAATTACCAATCAATCCATCCGCAGCGCAGTGAAATAAAACCTACATTTTAAAGTCTTGATTGCAACGGTATTTAAATTCGCAACGGTTGTTCCACGGATAACAGTGATGAACTTTTTATATGAGAAAATATTGAAGCGAAGTATACCCCGTAAACTATGGTCAGTATCACTCAATTTTTATTGTGAGAAAAACGTGATTCACTCTATTGTGTTTATGAAGCGGGCGTATCAAACGCACAGTCTCTGGCCTCTGAATAAGGTTAATCTGCACGACAATTTTGCTGAATTTACTAAGCGTCGTGACCCGCACCACGGTTTTTGGATCTCAAAAGATTTCGTGTTATCGACTAAAAAAGGTCCACTTGAATCACAGCACGTTCTTGTTAAAATTTTCCATTAAATTTACTACCTAACTATTTTCATTGCCATATACTATCGTAACTTATGATATCACTGTTTTGACTTTCAAGTCACCATAGCAATATTTATAAGTTTTTATATCACAAAGATGATTATCATCCAAAATGATGTATTTGTGTCTGATAATTTGTCTTCTTCTTCTCGTGTCTCTCCATTACTGAAGGTTGGCCGTTAGCTTTTGAAAACTGCCAGTGTTCTTAGCGAGGTGTAGCAATTCCTCAACCGCCTCTATCCTCGTCGACTCCCTGTTATTCCGCAGCCATGACTTGTTCCTCCTTCCAACACGTCTTCTGGTTTTCCCCATTATAATAAGCTGGAGGAGGCAGTAGCGGTCATGGTGAAGGATGATATTATATATATTATAATTTGTTACGAACGTAAAAATGTAACAATATTATTCGATTTATTTATTACTAGCTGTACGAGCGACTTTGTCCGCTAAGAATGTTTATTTCGGTCATCCAAATTCTGCTTTCTTTACAAACTTAAGCTGTTACTCACGACGTCGGTCGCGTCCCTTCCCGTAGTTCTTACAAATTAATCTTAGAAGATAGACATATAACGACGACTTTTTTTTAGATAATTTAAAGAGGAATCATTCTTTCCTACATACTTTTGGGTATCTTGAACCGTTTTCGTAGCATACGCCTCGAAAAACATAGAAATAAAAATTTTCCCCCGTTTTGTTCACATTTCCCGCTGTATCTTCGCTCCTATTCGTCACAGCGCGATGTTTTATGATGCTTTCCTCGATAAAAATAATATTTCAATTGCAACCAGTAGTTGTTGAGATTAGTGTGTTCAAACAAACAAACAAACTCTTCACCTTTATATATTAGTATAGATTCAACAATATTATAACAGTTTAAAATGCTTATTAAATTACGAACACGTTTATTCAGATGAGTAGTATTTGCCGACTGTCTGTTAACACTGCGAAACAGTCGTGCAATCTAGCACATTCGAACTCTCATTTCAAAGATTAATTAAAACCGCAAATAGGATCAAATACGTATGAGAAACATCAAACAATACATGAAAAGGAAGCACACGTGGCATTAAGTAATATTACTCTGCCCCGACCACAATGGAACATCACAAAAACCATCTCATTTGAGCGCAGGAGTTATTCGAATACAATTGTCATTGTTTCAAGCATAGAGCGTAAAAGGACATCGCTTGGCAATCCAGAGACATCTAGGGATGTGACATGTCGCGTCCTAGAAACAATAGCAAAATCTAATGCCACAGATAAAGTAATAATTCAAATGTCTAAAGCCAAATCATGTTCAGAACGAATCGCTAGAGCGTTTTATATTCCAAGTTTGTGTTTTCTTATGACAGAGCAAAACAAAAAAGCGTTGCGTTAACTTGATGGTAGTCAAATAACATCCCAACAAGATGCGCTATCGACCTGTATTTTGGCGTCATGTATGCGGAAATCCACAGACTAAAACTGTCTAATGTCTAATTTAAACTTCACGGTTTTGTATCTGTGGACGATAGTTCGTAAGTCGGATAGTATTTCGATATTCCAACTACCCATCTAACATTCAGATCTCCAGACAAATTGCAAAAAAAAAAAATTAAATAGACTGACGTTGGATCCATTGATGATCAATTGTACATTACCATTCGACAAGTCCATCTATCAATCTTTGTAAGAAAAAAGTAGCATAAACAAGTCGACAGAACATTTGTAAGATATATTAGGGATAGGGCATTTACTTTTCATATAGCGATGAACTTATCTACTCTCTACATAATTAACAAGCTTAAATCAATAACCTCCTAATAGTATAAAATCGTATGAAGCGACATAAAATGTTTCTTAATATAAGCGCAACCCTATTGTAAACAAGCCCTTTTTGTAACAGTGAAACAATACTAAGGCCGTAAATGAAACTGAGCCTCGTACTATGCTGTTTCCAGTCGACGAGGAAAAGGCAAAATAATCCTAGGAAATTGTAATTATGGTAATCATGAATCATCCGGACTATGGTTGGTCGACGCGTTTAATATCGGTAACAGTAAAGACTTTTTATTTCAAACCTATACATGGGTATATTCTTTATTGTTCTATATTTGAATTAACAATTCCACGGTAATTACTGAAAGTTAATCGCAATATAAAAGATATGCTATTTATATAATAAGCTATATTTTGATCCGCGGAAAGATATTATGCGTCTCGCACAATGCATTTCCCACGTCACCGTTTCCACAGGTTTGCGTAAACCTACTAATTAGTGACTGATTACAACGCAGAACAATAAATGTTCACTATGACTACACTCGGTAGTAAACACTGTTGTATTGAAATTAAATCTCTTATAATACACTGTTTTTTTAACTAAGAATAGTTTATAGTTATTTCGTATGGAAATGTTAAGGCTCGGCAGAGTATTTGAATTACAAAGCAAACTAATTCAAATTATTACTGAAATTCGCCTCCTCTTATATTTAAATAAATCATTTTAACGGTTTAAAAAGAAAAATATATTAGTTAAACTTGATTAAGAAACGATTTTTTTTTCAATTTATTTTCGATTTTTAATAAAGTTCAACTAATATTTTTCGAGCTTTAAACCGTTAAAATATGTTATTTAAATGTGTACTACTTGCGTAAACCACAAACAGTATTCCTCTTATATTACAATTATGTAAACATAACAAAAAAATTCTGTCCATGTATGTGTGTCCTCCTTACCAATGAAAGTATAAAGAACTTAAACTTAAACCAAATATCTATATAAATTGTTATAATCTGTATAGATTGTTCTATAATCTATACACCTTTTTTAAAATAAGAACAATTTCGATTCCAAATTCAAAATCAACAACAGATTAGAATCATAATTCGAATCGATAACTGTCTCAATACACTAGTTTTAAAGTAAGATATAATTAAATTCTAAATTCAAAATCAACAATATTAGTTTAGAAGCTTAATTCAAATCGATGGCTTACTAAATCGCTAGGTATCGGAGTTCAGTGCCCATATAACTTTCGTAGCATGTGAGAAGACAAACAGTTTTGTGTACTTTTACGCGGAACTGGTGGCGCAATATCGCTTCGCTAGTTGACCCACTTACTACCACCATATGGGACGTGTCTCTGAAACAATAATATTTAAACATGCGGTATTTACGCAACACAGAGAGGGTGTGAACTTATGAGGATTGCGTACGCACTTAAAATAGTTTTTCAATAGCAAAAAAATAATCATGGATTTTTTAATGGTTTTTAAAAAGCAATTTTGTTTTTCATGATAGAGGATTACAGCATGGGATTTACTTGATGGTAGGTGAAAGTACCCCAGCCATATAACATGTACACAAGATGCGCTAGCGTCTTGGCTTTAGATATTCGGAAGGCTTTTTTATCTGTAACCGGACGGAATTACGATATTCCTATTACTCATTTAATGTCCACATCTCAAGACGAAGTCCAACAAGTTTCAGAAAAATTATTAATTGATTAGAAAAACGATGGACCCGGTGGGGATCAACCCACGACCCGTTTTTTATTAAACATACATTTAAATAAAACACTTTAACGGTTTAAACCGCGATATATTAGTTAAACTTATGTATTATTACCACGGCTGCTGCAAAGCATCCGAAACGTCGGGCCGAAGTTAAAAATCATTTCCAAATAAGTTTAACTAATATATCGCGTTTTAAACCGTTAAAGTGTTTTATTTAAATGTGTACTACTCGCGTAAACTATTGACAGTATTTAGACAAACAGTGCTGATACCAATGAGACTTCAGTTGGTGTACACATTGATTTATTCATACATTTTAATAGAAGGGTGATAAGTTCACATTATCTCCTACCATTTCCCCTCTACCCAATGGTCCTCCACATTGGGTATTCCGAATCCTACTCTTTATTCAAACCTTCCTATTTCTTCCTTTTATCCATACGAAAATTTTAGTTCATTCTATTGAATATGAGAGAAACAATTCACTACCTAAATGAAAATGACGTAAGCAAACCGCTAATCTAATGTCTTCTTAACATCTCGATGTATGTTTTTAAGTCAATTGGTACTAATTTAAAACATCCGTCTTCTAAGAATCGTTCGCATTAATTGTCCTTGGTTTTTTTACTATAAATCCAAACAAAAGAGCAATAGTGATGTGAAAACTAATTAAGACGTGAATAACTGAATATTTAATTCCTTGACCTAGATTAGAGTTTTATTTTCAAACTATCATTTAAACTAAATGCTTCACGCTTATATATAAGTTTTTGTTTCTAGCATATATTATAATATAGTTACTATATTTCTATCTCCGCAACTATACACAGAAAAGGAATACACGAAAATAACATGAAAGTTGCATTTTTTTATGACAAAGAAATTTTTATTAAAAATTACAATTTAACAATCACATATGTCGATTGAAAACTTTATTATTTTTACATGTTATTGCACATGAAGTCACAATATACTTAATTTAAAAATCGAAAATAAATTGAAAAAGTTTTCGACTCAGGCAGGACTTGAACCGGCATCGTCAGCGTCCCGTGCTGTTGCTCTACCAATTAAGCTACCAAGTCCGAGTTTTAAATCACAAATATTTATGGATCTCAAAATCTGACTGAATAGTTTTGCTGAATATCAGGCTACTATCAAGAGGTACGCCGAAAATGTCAGTCAGTGCTGCTGAATCACGCATGAATTTAGCACATAAGATGCACTGTCTCCGCACTCGGCATTTGTATGACATTCTCAAGTAAGCGCCAAAGTACTCTTGTCGCGAGAGAACTGGCCCCCAACAAAAAACTAGTTACATACGTTCGGATGACGATCATTATAAATTCTCAACTGTTTTTACTAAGCTCGGAGAAGCAATTTTAAAAGCTGGAAGTACTGGCTCGTTTTTCTTCGTTAGCATTCGGACCTTGTGTGGTTCCTTGTTTCAAGCACAGACTATACAACAGACCATACACATATTGGAAGGTTGT